CAATGATGATGATGACGATGACGCTGATGACGATGACGCTGATGCTGATCATGATGACGATGCTGATGCTGATGCTGATGATGCTGATGATGATGAGGATGGTGATGATGATGACGATGTTGCTGATGATGATGATGATGATGACGATGATGATGATGATGATGACGATGATGACGCTGATGATGATGACGATGATGATGATGATGACGATGATGACGATGATGATGCGGATGATGGTGATGCTGATGACGATGACGATCATGAAGCTGATGCTGACGATGATGGTGATGCTGATGATGATGCTGCTGATGCTAATTATGATGCTGATTATGATGATGATGCTCATGATGATGATGCTGCTGATGATGGTGATGCTTATGATGATGACGATGATGACGATGATGCTGATGGTGATGATGACGCTGATGATGATGACGATGATGATGGTGGTGATGACAACTCGGATGATGATGACGATGATGATGCTGACGATGACGCTGATGACGATGACGCTGACGATGATGCTGGTGATGATGTTGCTGATTATGATGCTGATGATGATGCTGATGATGATGATGATGATGATGGTGACGATGATGATGATGACGATGACGCTGATGATGATGACGCTGATGTCGATGACGATGATGACGCTGATGATGATGACGATGACGAAGATTATGACGATGATGCTGATGACGATGGTGATGATGCTGATGACGATGATGATGACGATGACGATGATAACGATGATGCTGATGATGATGATGATGATGATGCTGATGATGATGCTGCTAATGCTGATGCGGATGATGCTGATGCTGATGATGATGCTGATGATAAGGATGCTGATGACGATGATGACGATGATGCTGGTGATGATGACTCTGATGATGATGACGACGATGATGATGACGATGGTGACGATGATGATGATGATGACGATGGTGATGATGACGATGATGATGCTGATGATGATGATGGTGACGATGCTGATGACGATGATCTTGATGATGTTGATGATGATGATGCTGATGATGATGATGATGATGTTGATGCTGATACTGATGCTGATGATGATGACGATGCTGATGACGATGCTGAAGCTGATTATCATGATGATGATGCTGTCGATGATGCTGATGCTAATGATGCTGATGCTGATTATGCTGACGATGCTGACGATGATGCTGGTGATGATGGCCATGATAACGCGGATGATGATGCTGATGATGATGACGATGATGCCGCTGATGATGATGACGATGATGATGATGACTATGATGATGATGATGATGATGACGATGATGATGATGACGACGATGATGACGATGATGCTGATGCTAATGCTGACGATGATGATGATGCTGATGATGATGCTGCTAATGGTGATACTAGTGACGATGCTGATGATGATGACGATGCTGATGACGATGCTCATGCTGATGATGATGATGCTGATGATGATGTTGCTGACGATGATGATGCTGATGATGATGCTGATGCTGATGATGATAATACTGCCGATGATGACGCTGATGATGATGACGATGATGGTAATGACGATGATGACGCTGATGATGATGCTGACGATGATGACGATAATGACGATGATGATGATGATGATGATGATGGCGATGCTGATGATGATGATGATGCTGATGCTGACAATGATGATGATGCTGATGATGATGCTGCTGATGCTGATCATGATGCTGGTGATGATGTCGGTGCTGATGATGCTGCTGATGCTGATGATGATGCTGATGCCGATGCTGATGATGCTGATGATGATGCTGATGATGAGGACGAGGATGACGCTGCTGGTGATGACGATGATGGTGACGATGATGTCGCTGATGATGAGGACGATGAACATGACGATGATGACGCTGGTCATGATGACGATGATGATGATGATGACGATTATGACGATGATGATGACGATGATGATGACGATGATGATGATGATGCTGACGATGACGATGATGCTGATGATGATGCTTCTGATGCTCATGATGACGCTGTTGCTGATGATGGTGATGATGCTGATGACGATGCTGATGCTGATTATGATAATGATGATGATTCTGATGACGATGACGCTGATGCTGTTGATGATGATTATGCTGATGACGATGATGGCGATGATGCTGATGATGATGCTGATGACGACGATGACGCTGATGATGATGACGATGCTGGCGATGACGATGATGATGCTGATGATGATGACGATGATCATGATGACGATGATGACGATGATGATGATGCTGATGGCGATGCTGATGCTGATGATGATGATGCTGACGATGATGCTGATGCTGATGCTGATGATGCTACTGATGCTGATGATGACGATGCTGATGACGATGCTGATGCTGATGATGATGCTGATGGTGCTGATGCTGATGGTGATGCTGAAGATGATGATGATGATGATGATGATGGTGATGCTGACGATGATGATGATGACGATGATGACGATGATGCTGATGATAACCATGATGACGATGATGATGACGATGATGCTGACGGTGATGATGATGATGATGATTCTGACGAGGATGATGATGCTGATGATGATGCTTCTGATGCTGATGCTGATGATGATGATGACGATGGTGACGCTGATGATGCTGATGATGATGATGCTAATGCTGATGATGATGCTGATGCTGATGCTGATAATGATCCTGATGACGATGATGACGATGATACTGATGATGATGATGACAATGATGGCGCTGATGATGATGCCGATGATGATGATGATGACGATGCTGATGATGATGATAACGATGATAATGATGGCGATGATGCCGATGATGATGATGATGATGATAACGATGACGATGATGACGACGATGCTCATGATGATTATGATTAGGATGCTGACGATGTTGATGACGATGCTGATGATGATGCTGATGATGATGACGTTGATGCTGATGATGATGATGATGATGATGATGATGCTGAAGATGATGATGACGACGATGACGCTGATGCTGATGATGATGACGATGGTGACGCTGATGATGGTGGCGATGATGGTGATGATGTCGATGATGTCGCTGACGATGACGACGATGATGATGATGATGACGATGATGACGATGATGACGGTGATGATGATGATGACGGTGATGATGACGATGATGATAATGCTGATGCTGCCGATGATGATGATGCTGATGATGATGCTTATGATGCTGATGATGATGATGCTGATGGTGATGGTGATGATGCTGATGACGTTGCTGGTGCTCATGATGATGCTGATGCTGATGCTGATGATGATAATGCTGATGCTCATGCCGATGATGATGGCCATGATGATGACGATGGTGCTGCTGATGATGATGATATGATGATGACGATGATCACGCTGATGATGATGACGATGATGATGATGATGAAGATGACGACGCTAATGATGATGATGATGATGATGATGATGATGATGATGATGACGTTGATGACGATGGTGACCATGATGATGATGATGATGACGATGATGCTGATTATGCTGATGTTGATGCTGAAGATGAGGATGATGCTGATGATGATGCTGGTGATGATGCTGATGATGGTGATGCTGATGATGATCATGATGCTGATGATAATGTTGATCATGATGACGATGTTTACACTGATGATGATGATGATTACGATGATGACGCTGATGATGATGCCGACGATGGTGATGCTGATGACGATGATGACGATGATGACGATGACGATGATGACGATGACGATGATGATGACGATGATGATTACGATGATGATGATTATGCTGATGCTGTCGATGATGATGATGATGATGATGATGCTGATGATGATGATGATGATGACTATGATGACTATGATGACTATGATGATGCTGATGCTGACGATGATGCTGATGATGATGATGATGATGATGATGATGATGATGATGATGATGATGATGTTTCATTTCGGCTCAAGCGAAAATTCTCTGGCTCAAGCTGGCCCAGGCCTCTCCCGTCTCCACCTTTTTTTGTGCTCGCCGCACCTCGGCCGCTCCGCGCCCGCGATGCCGAGCCACGGGGTACAGGACATGCACCCGATGCCGGCGGTGGCGCCGAGGGTGGCCAGGCGCCCGCGCGCGCGGCCCAGGCGCGCGGACGAGCGCTCAGCCTGCGCTGCGACCGACGTGTCGGACTCCTCGGGCGATTCCGTGGACACGCCCATGGGCCTGGTGGACGCCTTCTCTCGTGGCTCGAAGAACCACCACAAGGGCCAGTGCACGCCGTGCCGCAGCAACGGGAGCGGCGCTCCGTGCCCGCGCGGTGCGACGTGCGATTGCTGCCACTACTACCACGGGCCGGAAAAGTTCCTCGCCATGAAGCGCTTCGCCGCAAAGCCGAGGCAGCAGCAGCGCACCCGCGCGGATCTGGACAACGGGTGGCCGACCGCACCCGTTGTCTGTGAAGCGCCGCGGCCGACGCAGCAGTACGAGAAGGTGTGCGCCACCGGCGGGCCCGTGACGGTCCTACCAGTTGTGGGGGCCGCAGTCATCAGCCACTTGAGCCCCCAGCAGCTGGAGGCGGTGCTCCTGGAGGCGGCTCCAGACTGCTACGAGGACTGACGGAAGGGCGCGCGGCTCCCTGCCCCCGTCGCGCACACTCGCGGGGGTTTTGTGCAGGCTGCCCGCAGCAGTCGCTCCGAACGACGGTGCGCGCCGCGTTCGTGCGCACACATCCATCGGCCACGCGTAGAGGGGGATATGTGCGCGCCGCCAAGTCCAATGACACGGCGTGCGGATGTTCCGTCACTGTCTTTGGTGTCGTGAGCGTTACAGAGCAGCGCTCCGTAATTTCACTTTGGCAAGCAGGCACCCGTCCATCGCTACCAACTTGGCCCTAGTCTGCGAATTTGCTGACTCACTGCTACCACTTCCAATGCCTCCGCGGTAGGTGCGTGTTGCTTTCCGCCACGCGGGAGGGGCAGCTCGCTTGTTCACACAATTTGCGATGAGAGCGCAGTTTCCGGTCACAGACTCTTTGTTCGGGTCTGTAGGATTGGCTGCCACGAATTGTTGTGAGCACTCGGTGGAGGTGAAGGCACGGTTGTCGACCAACCATGTGTCGCAGGCCTAGAGGTTGACACCAACACCAGCATCGGCGGTGTGCCTCCACCGAGGGAAGAGGATCCCGATCTCGGTGATGGTGGTAATATTCTGGCTTCCAAAGTGACCGAAAGATTACCACCAACACCGAAATCGAGGATCATCTTCCCCCATGTGGAGGCAACCCCTGTGTTGGTGTTGGTGCCCATTTCCAGGCCTCCAAAGGTGCGTCGTTCGTGGTCCTCCCCCTCCCCCTCCCCCTCCCCCTCCCCCTTCTCCTCCTCCTCCTCCTCCTCCTCCTCCTCCTCCTCCTCCTCCTCCTCCTCCTCCTCCTTCCCCCTGTGTTGGCGTTGGTGCCAATTTCTGGGCCTCCCAGTGCAGATGTTTCTCTCGGTCCTGGGCCGCCGCCTTCGGCGAGAGGGCCGCGAGGGCGGCGGCCAGGCACGGGGCCACACGCGGCTCCAGCTCGGGCTGCCCCCGACGCCCGCGAGAGGGAGCCTCACCACCCACCAAACCACCCCAACCCCACCCGAAGGCTCAGATTTGCCTTCGATTTTTAGGGGGGGGGGTCGGGAAACATCGAAAAAACACATGTGGAACCCTTACCCCCCCCAACCCGAAATTCAGGTCTTCGGGTTGGGTTGGGGTGGTCTGGTAGGTAGTCAGAGCCTGCGCAGAGGATGATCTCATTGAGCGCCCGGGATCCGTCCATTTGAACAGGAAGCCGTCCACTTGAAAAAAGGAGGCCAACGAAAACCGACCAGGAGGCGGACTACAAGTTATAACTCTACATCATACAAACGAAGGATTTTCGGATGGCACCCGGCTCCGCACATCCAGGCGCACCGCCCCGTCATTTTGACCACGGCCGGCCGTTCTCGGGGCCGCGAGGCGCACACGGGGCGAGTCCGATCCCCACAGTGGCGGTCGGATGAGGGCAGGATCATGCGAGCGATAACCTAGGGGAGTCTGGGCCCTAGGGAGTATCAAAACGCATTCGCACATTTTAAGCTAACCTTTCTCCTAGGGGGCCCGAAGCATATCACGCCGAAGGCGCGCGTTTGTTATCGGCGGCCCCCCCACTCCTCCTGAGGAGGAGTGGGGGGGGGGCGGGGCTCATCTCCTGGGGGATGGGGGGGATGGAGGAAGATCGGAGGAGGGTCATTCGAGACAACGGCAGGGCTGTCAGCAGCACCCATAGAAGGGATGCGTGCTCGCCCATAGCAGGGATACTGTCGGGTTGCTCTCGCCGCCCAGGGGAAGGGAGTCAATCATATCGAGGATTCCATGCCATTGAGCGGATGGGGTCCAACACCAAGCTCCGCACATCCATCAGGAGCGCTCTATATCTGTTGCCAGAGAATTCGGCACGCGGTAGTTCCTGTCGTAGGAGGAGGCGTGTTGGCTTGTCGTCTGTGATACCGCGAGGCGCACACTCTGAGCAACTCTGGTCCCCAGTGTGGCGGTCAAAGGAGGGCAGGAAGAGGCATACGAGGAGGAACGATCGTGTCAAGTTTTTCCTCGAGCTCTGGCGAGCGCACTTCTCGTGGGCTGGCATGCCCCGTGGCTCTGCTGCGGGTGCGCCAACCGCCGAGACCGCCCCGACAGCGTTCGCGCCAAGGTCATGGGCGCGGCACGCTAATTGCTTCCTAGCTCCAGCCAGGACTTAAAGTCGGCACGCCAGCCAACGTATCACCTGTTCGTGTGCCCAGCCCGTGCTGCGGGTGCGCAGCTGGGGCGCCTGAAGAGTGGGGGCTGGGGAGGACGATCAATGGAGAGGAAGCATCCATGGGGCTATGAGGAGCGGGAGCAGGAGAACTGCTGGGACATTTATGCCTCTCCGTCTCTTCGTGGACAAGCGTACCTTCTGCCATCTCTTTGAGCACGACAACTGAGATCGAGGCGCTGGCAGAGATGGGCAGTGAGGCAGCTGAGCTCGATGCTCGCGACCTCAGGCTCAATTCTCGATCAAAGGAAGTGGCCAGGCTTCTCATATACCAACACGGCACACATGGTTCCAGTTTGTGTTGCTCTCGCATCCCCAAAGAAAGAGTCGTTGGGGATTTACTTTCACGGAGCGCATGAGATCCAACACCCAGTAGTTTTCTAAGTCCGCGAGGCGCATACCGAATCCGATCCCCAGTGTGGCGGTCTGAGGAGGATTGCTGGAAGAGGAGGGGGAGGAGGAAGAGGAGGAAGCGAGGGGAGACGACGCTTAGCAGGCGCGAGGTGCCGACTTTAGGTGTGCTCCCACACGTGCTATTTTTGAATCTGATCTGGCGGGGTGCTGGCAGGGCTGGGCGGGAGGTGGTGATGGGCTCGCTCTCGCGGCTTGCATTGGCGTGACGCTCCTTGCTTCGTTGGATTCAGAATTTTGGCTGAGTCAAGGCCTCGGGCTGACGCAACGCACGATGGCAAGTACCACAAGTCGAGGGCATGAGGCGTGAGGCATCAAGCCATTGAGTAACTATTCTTAGTCAGTCGCTCTCTTTTGTCTGCCCCGCCGGGACGCAGCAACATATTCGCAGTGTTCGGCGTAGAGGTCTCGAGGGCCCAGAGGACACTCCTCTGGAGTCGGTGCTTGCTGGAACGGCGGTGGGCCGTCTTGGGGCTGGCGCCACAGGCGTGCGCGCTCACGGCCTCCTCGCGTTCGCGGGCGAGCTCTGGAGCGAAGCTGGTGATGCGCGTGGCTCGATGCCGCCTCCTCCGCCTGAGATCAAGCAGTGGCGAAGCGTCTTGGCTCGTTTATAGCCCTACCAAACAATGTTCTAAGAACCTTTTGTGGTTTCCACGATATGTTCTCAGAATCTTTCTGGCGGAGTCTGTCTTATTTTATCACATCGGACTTACTTTAAACGGAGAAGGTTAAAGGCGAGGTATAAATCGAGCATGTACCGCTGCCGTGCCTGGCCCAAGCCGGGCCCGGCCAAATATATGACTGTGCCTCACTGAGGCGCACGACTTGCATCAGAGATCGGAAAATACCTTTTTCCATTGACGATGCCCATCCTATCCTTTACTCCAGATCCCATGCTTCGTCTCGCTCTCTTGCTCATGCGATATGAGCCAAAGCCTGGGATATGGCAACGCTTAAAGCGTAACACATACCTAAGCTTACCAGCTTGTTTTCGACTTGGTAGCGGAGCTGGCTACTCTCTCGTGTGGCTGGCTCTCGCTCTGATTCCTGTAATCCACGGCACAACTTGGTGGACTACTACTACGGTGGAATACCATGTTGCGCCGGCTCTGCGAGGAGCGGAGCCAGTCCGCGATCGAGCTAGCGGGGCAATCCGCGAACTCGAGACGCTCTCTCCTACTTCACTGCGCCACTTCACTCTCGACTTCCACCAGATGCCAATCGGCAACTCGATCGAGAACGTGGTCACCCTGCGGGGCTACCCGCAGCGGGGCCACCTGCATCCCGTGCCAGTCAGGCGCCTCGCGGCTACTACGCCAGAGCCTGACAAACCACAGCCTAAACCAATCACCGAAGCCGAAATGCACATGCATTGGATCAAGATAACTATATTCGGCATTCTGTGGGTAATAATGGGATGTGCTGTGGGATACATGCGGCAGGGGATGGACGACACGAGTACTACTGGCCCTTCATGGGACCCTGCCGGTACTACGCCTTTTCGCGAATACGTTCGCGAAGTACATGCATGGTTAAACGTAACGAGTGGCAATATGACACCACCACAACAAGCTGCAGCACTACAACGAGGCCTTCAAGGTCTGGCTCGTCGTATCGCCACGCAGGTCCCCTCCCAGATCATCAATTATGGTGTAACTGTCAATGGACAGCCAACGGATGCAGTAACATATATACTGTACTTACTGAGCACCAAATTCGAAAATCTGGAAGATGAGCGCCAGCTCAACTCTGGCACTGCCCTTATCGACTTCCGCGTCGAAAGGGGCGAGCGAATCGACTCAGTATTAGCTCGATTCGAGATGGCCCGTGACGAGGCTAACTCTGTTGGCTTTGTCATCCCCAACTTTCAGATCCTAGCGCTGATTCTCTTCAGAGCGTTAGGCGTTGGCGCGTCACGAGCCCAACACCTGCTTGAGCCCTTCAATCATCAGATGCCCCGAACACACGCAGACTATGACAGGCTGCTGACCAGGATGAGGAACTACGGACATGTTGCCGAGCGCTCTCCTGGCAACATAGCGGGTATCTTCACAGGGCACCACTCACATGCAGGCGTCTACGCCACGACTGCGGGGTCACCCGCTGGTCCTGGCGAGCCAAATCCCTGGGCTGACCCAGCCGATATGCCCAACGAGGCCACTGCCCTTTTAGGGCAGACTGGCCAGGCATCGGCAGAGGCAGCTGAGGCGAACGCCTGGTCGAACTACTCGCCAGGCGCCGCCTACACTGCAAGCCCGCCCTCGGGCACAACCCTCTGGGGCCAAGCGGAGTCATCCGCTCAAGGGTCTCAGCCACCCTCACCGTTTGAATCTGGCACTGACACGGATACCTCATCTGGCGATGAGCACAATGGCATAGTCTCTGCTGGTAATGACTACCCAGCGGATGACACTCACCTCTCTGAACAACAAAGAGCGGAAGCCGCCTTTATGGCTTATCGCAAATCAAAACGCCGTTGGAGGCGCTTTTTGAAGAAACCAGTCAGAAAGGTGAGACGTGCAGTACGCCGACATTTCAAACGATTTGGAAAGGGTCGTGGCAAAGGGGGTCGCAGACGCCGTATGCATGGTAGGGGTATTACTGCTTTCCTCACGTCCTTAACTGATATGGCTTTTGAAGAAGTTCTTATCGGAGGCAAAGGTCGGGGCCACAGGCGGACCTCCGGTAAGGGAAAGGGGCGGAGGGGCAACCCTAGGGACGCTTCTGGCAATACTATGAAGTGTCATACATGCGGTAGCACAGAGCATTTGCGCGATCAATGCCCGAAGGGGAAAGGAAAGGGATCCGTACATTTGGCTCAAAATTATTTTATGGATGACATAGATTACATTGACTACGAGTTTTACGTCAATCCAGAAGCGGCTCCCGCCGCGGGCTCCTCCACGTATTACGTGATGGCCCGCTACGCTGAAGCAACTGTAGCCCTGGAAGACTACGCAGTGACCCTCTTCGACGAGTTCCACGGCTTGACGAGGTCGACGAGGTCGCGTACAATGCTTGGTTCGGTCTTCCAGCGGGGCCACCCGCCGGCGACGAGGTCTCCGAAGCCGAGACCGTCCCGGCAACAGAGGAAGAACTCACCGCCGTGCTGGCCCCGCAAGTGATTGGCATGCCGCTGCTGCCAAATCCCTCGTGGGCTGGTTCGGAGGCGGGAGACGCCGATGACGAAATGCGGGGCCATCCCGCGCATTCCGACTCCGAAGAAGCCGAAGAAGATTATAAGGACATGCTCCAAGAGCAGGTCTCAGAAGCAATCCGACTCCTGAGTGCGCCAGCACATCAGCAGATAACCATGAACGAACTGCTGTCACACCCAGGAGTTGCACGTCTACGTCCACACTTGGACTCGGACATGTCAGCATCTCAGATGCTGACAGCACTCCAAGCTCTAGCGGGGACACCCGCCGAAGAGACGCCAGACGCAACAGCGGGGCCACCCGCTTGGTCTATGGATGTATTCATGCAAGGTTGTGATCAAATGGACATTAACGACCTCACGATGGAGCAGTTAAACGACATCGGGTAC